TGAAATGCCATCGTCTATCACATATCGTTTACCATCGAATGGCGACAAGTCTACTTTATTTGTTTTGCAAGTTGATAACTGATTGTTGTAGCTTCTAATTAAATGAAAGGTAGCCCCGGACTGTTCATGATAAAAAAGGCAATATTTAAACATCTTATGGCGCATGTGCTTTTGAATGAATGTGTTTGTTTCAAATTTGATTTTTTTTTAACCGTTTCAAACTGGTTTGCTTGTGTAATTTCTCAATCTTTCTTCTGAGGTAATTAATTCTACTTGTTCATAATTTCTCACATTTTGTAAATCATTAATTTTTCGATTTCAGAGTCTGCATAGAGCATAAAAGGGCATTTGGATCGTCTTTGATAATTTACTAAGTCCAAAACTTTGAGTGGCCTTATCTGGTTCTGTTAAGTTAATGGATTGAAGCATTTGAAATGGTTTATGAGTCTCCAACCTCTCTATATCCCCTAAATTTCGAATATTTAAAGTACTGCGTTTTCTTTCTAGCTCAGGAGGTAAAGAAAGGTAAGATGAACCTCTGAAAGTTTGAATGTTAAACTCACCTGTGCACTTTCAGTAAGCTCAATTACAGCAAGCAGGAGTAAGTCCAAAACGAACAATCAGACTGTCAATGTTCCGACAGATGTTGGTCTCAACCACTACAATCTCTTTAGGTCAACCTCATTTTAACCAACCAAAGCTACAGGTTTTCAGATCGACACGTACGGGTTGTTGCGGTGTTGACATACCACCCGCTCATTGTTCAAAATGGTTGCTTCTCGCTACACCGACAGCATTACATTCCTGTCCAGTAGACTAAGCGGGTTATCTGTGTCTGGTATATTCAGTTACATGGATTGACTGGTATGAATGAAGGTATACAGTAAACTACGGTTATAACAATCACGCTTATAACGAACTGACGGATATAAAGAACTAACTTTTTTGGTACCGACTATTTGCTGTAGTATATTTGCTGTATATATGCTTATAACGAACTACGGTTATAACGAACTAAAATTAGTAGTCCCTTTGAGTTCGTTATAACCGTACTTTACTGTATTTGCCTAATTTGTGTTCAGTTATGGACAGAATTCACAAATAATTGATATTGTTTCAGTTCGCGACACAACGGTGAACAAATATCAGTACTTAATAATGACTTGATTGAGTAGTGCCATCCACAGAGTATAAAATGAAACTTCACAAATGACCACATAATTTAGAAATGCCACATACACAGGGGTGGTCGGGTAGCCTAGTGGATAAAGCGTTCGCTCGTCACGCCGAAGACCCGGGTTCGATTCCGGATCCCGACATGGGTACAATGTGTGAAGGACATTTCTGGTGTCTCCCGCCGTGATATTGCTGGAATATTGCTAAAAGCGGCGTTAAATCATACTCACCCACTCACCCAAATGCATAGCTTAACCATCGCTACATTACGAATAGACTGGTCGGTCCGAAGAGCAGGAGAAATAACACAACAGAATGTCCAGCGACCATCAACACCATCGACAACATCATCCACATCGACAACCATAACCATTGTACACAGGAGACTGCAATTTACCAGGAATATATATCAGGTGTGAAACATAATCCTGAGTTAACTACTAGTAGTCTAACGTGGTTGTATTGAAAACGATTCAAAGAAAGTGGTTGCGGGGAACTCAAACAGCTGAAATAGACTCAGGGAAACTTGCAGTTTACGGTTGTGAGTGTAGAGAAAGGATCGTGAAAATCGGGTTTTGAAGGCGGTTTCGGTCAATATTGACATTACACCACATCGTGCGATCAGACACGCCTATTCAGAAGCGTTAATTGTTAATAAGATTAAGCACGGTTTACTATATGCATCATATATATATATATATATATATATATATATATATATATATATATATATATATATATATATATATATCAAATAGCATTTTTTAAAGTCGTATCCTGTATTACTTTTCTGTTACAAAGAGACATATTAAATACTGAATACCGTGAGAAACTGAAATCGATTTCCTACAAATGACATGTTTGTTTCCATGGCAATAGTTGTCTGATTATCCCTACAAATGCTTTCTCCGCTTCTTTGCATCTTTGCATCATACATGACTCAGTATCAGCAACATCTGAAGAAACATACAGTACCCCTGTATCCAGGTTTTCAGTAGGTATTGGTGGTGCATTGCACATTGCTCGAAATGAGATAAATAAACATAGGTATTTTCAGTTCGGATATTATGAGTGAGTTCACGTCACGTCGGCAATATTTCTGCCATACCGTGACGATCGGATATTATGAAAAACATGAGGATTTGGCTTTCCCTTTTCAACATTAAAATGCACGTGGTTTGTGATTTAAAAATCGTTATTTGATCTTATTTTTTACAAAAACAGCAACTGAAGAATAAAATGGTTTGGTCTATAATGTTTCTAAAGAAATAGCAAATTATAGATTTCCATACCATTTTGTACTTTCTATACCACGGTGTCTATGAACTGTTTAAACTACACTCGTATAAAGTACAAAATACTTAACGAACTTGTCATATCATATATGACATTATATTAATGTTTTATGCCCAAAGGAATCTGTTTCGTCGGATAATTGATATTATTCTCTCGCTTTGACGTTATATATTTATTATTAATATCATCACTGATACATATTATAATATCCCAGAAACACGCTTCACCTGCTTTGGTCTTAATTCTCATCCCTCACGTTTGAACATGATACATATCTTTGTTGAGGTCGATCTGGTGAAGCTGAATGCATGTTTTGTTAGAAATTTAACAAAGGATACATTTTTAAGAAACAACATTTGCATATAAACTGATGAAAAAGAAAGTATTCACTTGAACATTGGATTTGGCCAAAAAATTCAATGTGTTATCAAAACGTTACTAGGCTGAAAACAGTCGCCGAAGCATTTTGAAGTTAATTATAAGGTCACAAGTATAATATACACTATTGAATGACTACTTCTTGTTTGTTTCAATTAAGCTAACATCGAAAGAAGGTGTGTACATTCTTTTGTCCGGCAGTTTAGAAATATGTAGTAAGCTTTGCTTAAACGCTTTTTTCCAGGTGTCTATAACACACAATTGTACGACACACAGATCAACCCTGTATTGGATTGTCTTATAGTCGGGCCGAGCCAAATTTATCATTGGCTAATTACTCCATTATCGACCATACCTACATATTTTTGATGCAACAGACACACATGCCATAAATGAACTATCAGAAACCAAAAACGTGCAGCATAATTAAGTGATTGCGAGTAAATCGCTGAGCTAGGTTACATGTATAAAAGCAATCGTTAAGCGAAATAGGATTTGAAACGTATCAAATATTTCTAGCTATCGTGATACAAATTTCCATCTGTCGGCATAGCATTTACATCTATAGGATAGTATCATATCTAAGTAAAAACACTTTATAATGTCTGTGTTCATCGTATTTAAAGCAGACACATTGGTTAAAGTAGACCTCTTCTCCCCATACTCTCAACAGTCTCACAAGTGTTCGGTCTGACTTCACAGAACTCCCATTGAAACTAAGAAGAGAGCAGGCAATATTATCGTTCTGGGGACGAACATCAAACCCTTTGGTTAAAAAGATATGGCAAGACAAAAACACTCGAGATGAAGCCCTAGCTCGATAAAATCCATCACTAAAGCCATATGGGATATTAGTACGTGAATTCATCCGAAGTCACAATTGTGATGGCAAAACTTTTATAAAGGTACTTTGATAACGAAGTTTCAGGACTACGTCTTGTCCTTCCAACTTCAATCATTCTTGTTCTTCCAACTTCCAAATGCCAATCAAAGACATAGGTGATTCTAGACATTACTCAACATGGTATTTTTTCTTTGGTAAACAGTTAACTACCCTCATATGCCTGGAAACGCAATATGAAAAAGATCCATACCCTCATATGCCTGGAAACGGAATATGAAAAAAATCCCTGAAAACTCCCTTAATGGCCAAAGGTGCCAGTCCAGTGCATGTCTAATGTGTATTAAGTTTAATGAAGAAATATTGAATGGTGTATAGGGTAAATACCTAAAAAAGTGAAGGGCGTACATTGCCCTTTTCTATATCACCTACAGAAATCATTTTGGGCGGCGGATCATTAAACACTCTCCAGACTTGGAGAAATGTTTACTTCCTTCTGTAATTTGGATTTCAGGGCCAAAACTGAGGCAATCATGACTTGCCAAATCATTCTTGACTTGAGTTGGAGTCCTTTTCATATTTATTCTCTTTGGTCTGAGAGAATCTGCTCTATTTTTTTTACTTACTTACTTTGGAGTATTTTTTTTACCATTGTTAGTTTTATATACTCTGTTATCATCTGGCGCTCCATCGTTACTATGGATACCGATTAATGAACAATGTTAAATGGGCCGGTGGCCCCCTTACGAAATTAAGTCATTCATTCATTCTGGGAGACACACAACGCTGTGAGTATCGGATGGAGAACTGACCAGTAGCGAGAATCCCGCTTGGGTCAGACTGGGCCAGTGTAGTCGGTATCCTCCCATTTGTCACACACAACTTAAAACAACATAGGTCATGGCGGCAGTATTAGAATGGAGTGATCCAAGAAAAGTAGAAACGTAATCTTGTACTTTATGTATATAAAACTGTAGAAAAGTAAACTTGTACTTTATTTATGTGTTGTATACACACACAATGACATTACCATGTTATAATAAACATTCTTTATTTGCACTGGTAGCAGCACTGATTAATTAATTGAATTGATTGTCTCTGAATAGTCTTTGTGTACTCCAACCCTGCATTGAATCCTGCAGCAAAGTCGGTGAAGAACATGTTCCCTTCAAACAAACACAGGCATATTTTGATAATTAAAACATCTTCTTGTGCATAAATGGAATCTAAAATGTCTACTTCGTTTGCAGAAACCGTTCAATATAACAATACTCTCAACATGCGTTCAACATGTAAATACATTTCATACCTGACATACTGACATGGTCCCAGCTGGCAAACAAGACTTCTAAGAGCTTACTGTTTCAGCATAACTTCATCTATTCATCTGAGGCAACAACATCTGTTTGCCAACAATCGCGTCATCATTGATTTTCAGTGATCCATTAATATATTTTACCGCTATTGTCAACGTTTACGCCAAAAGGCATTCGTTTCGTTGGAAAATCGAAATTTGTTATTCTCTAGCATTGATGTTTCACATTTCTATGGTTGTTTACGATATGAGTATTGGTTGATAACAATATCTGGTGTCACATGACACGAAATAATATGTGTATGCCTGAAGTAAATATATTTTATTCAGGAAACAATAGCTAGAATTAGTTACCCGAACAGACTAAATGTTTATATTTTCCCTTTAATATAACACGTGTTTCAACACACAAAAATGTTAAACAAATACACGTTTGTTTTTACCGTTATACTTGCCCAAGTAGCCGTCGTATACATGTAAAATATATATATGTTGTGTACAGTCATGGGTGGAATTGGATACAATATTGAAATAAGGAACGCGTTCATGAGGCGAGACATTTCAAAACAATATACAATCTATAGTGTTGAAGATCTTCTTTGGTTGACTACAAACTACAGTTTTTACACGTGCACGTACCTCAGCTACATCATAAATTATATATATTTCATATTTTTTTGTTATCTTTAAATACCCACATCTAAAATCAACCAACTTCCCAGAAATACAATTGTCGTAGTTAAAATTATAAATCTATTCAATAGAATACAAATGGATCCCAGAACGACGCTTGATTTCAGGACCAGAGCTTAGGCAATCTAGACCTGTCAAATCATTCTTTACTTGGACTCCGTTTCAAATATATTCTCTAGGATCTGGGGACAGATAGAGTAACACGTAGTCAATGAAAACATTTCTTTAAAATATATTTCTTTTATTCGAAAGAACCTTTCTCCTTCTGCTGTTTTGGAATCAACTAAACTAGACTTGGTTAGTATGATCTAGACTTGCCTAGGATTTTAGTAAAACAGAATACCTAAAAAATATAAATTTCACAGTCATGGCGCAGGACCAGGGGGCAGACCACGGTGTGAGTATCGCATGGAGAGATTAAAGCATTACCAACGCACAATTCGTCTGTTTTAAAAAGAAAATGTGTTCTTCTGATTTCATATTCATAATAATGCTACACTACACAATGGCGACACAAAATTGTACCAGTACCACATACATGAATATAACCGATACACACAGTTCAATTCCACTGCAGACCGCCCGATAAACGGCCGGTGTCCCGGTATAAACTCTCCCCCGTACAAATTCTCCCCCCGGAGATTTTATACCGGTACAGATTCTCCCCCGGAGAATCTGTTCTGAAATAAAATCTCCCCCGGGCGGATATATTTCGCGCCCCCCTCAGTATAAAGTCTCCCCTCTGATTATTCGGTTTGTTGCAATGTCTTTAAGTAGTATAGTCTTTAAATAGTTATCTTTAATGTAAGGAGGGTTACTTTAAAATATAGACTATGAAATATGGTCATAATGAATTGATATTTCAGCATATTTTATTTGGTAACTGTACCTTCCATCCTAAAATAATTATAAGACATAATCATACCAAACAAATTTGAATGAAATGACTTAATGTGACAAATACATGTACGGTTACTGTCGTAACTGAAATTCAGAAATCTTATTAATCCTCGCAAACATTCGGTTTTAACACTAACTACGTAAAAACTGTCAACATTTCCACGCGCGCCTCAAGCTCACGCTCTCCGTTATACTCTGATTTAAGATCTAAAATATATTCCTTAATACAGGCTACGATTTGAAAATGGTATTAGTGTAGGTGAGGTGAGGTGAAATTGGGTTTAACGTCGCGTCCAAGGTTATTGCACTTATATAGCGACGTGCATGCACGTGTATGTGTGTGTGTGGCTGCTTGTACTAGTCCGGACTGATGCCGATTTATAGTGCTAGCTCACTGAGATACCATGCCACAGTTTACTGTATACTGACTCCGAGCCGACCAGTCCTTGCTTTAAACATACAACATCATAACTATCTAATTCAGCACTGATTAAATCTACTTTGTCTTTAAGACAGCGTACGTTTAGATGTATAAACTTTAAATCTGGACTATGCAAAGGTCCTGGATTCGGATGGATATCACCGCAGCAAAAGAGAAAAAGTAAAACTAAGAATGATAATCGGAAATTATATAAGCAAAGTAACCCAAAATATAGAGAAATGTGTATCATCTTCCCGAAATGATTAGCATGTAGAACAGATTAAAAAACGCCCACCGCCAGCCTGTATTGAACAACATCAACCGGCATCGTCAAAGCAAAGTGCACATGTAATTGTTACAATCGGGCTGGCGGTGAATCTTAATGAAAAACACCTTGTTAAAAAGACACAACGAAACTGATTTGCTTAACTGATGACCACAACATATTGCAAAATATCAAAACAGTAAAGATGATACAGTTTAACCTCATACTCAATCGCCAGCTGTCAATATACAAAACAGAATAATACATCAAGATGACAGTTTTCATGTAAAGATTAAGTATTTCTAAGCAAATTAAAGATACACATATCTAGATATTGTGCATATCTTTAAGTTGCTTAGAAATACTTAATCTTTACATGGAAACTGCCATCTTGATGTATTATAATGTATTGTATATTGACAGCTTGTGATTAATTGTTACCAGGTGGCTCCAGCTGGGGTAGCAGACGACACACTTTCCAACAATGGGGAAAAGGGTAAAAATATGAGTAGGCTGGTTATCATCGAGCAGAAGACTCACCAGTCTAAGATGTATTGAAAAAACACACACTTTATTCTCAACCTTATCTGATGTTAATTCAACAATTTATCATATACTTAGCAGTGGGATATTCTGTTAATAATCTCTCATAATTCTATTGAATGGTTCTGTACATTCTATCAATGTTTATTTGTACAAAGCTGTTTTATGTATGTACAGAAGTGAGACATTAATAAGTTATTGTCTGTCTGTCTGTCTACAATGTATACCGTACAATTTAACCGATTACACAAGCATGGCAAGTATTTATAAAACGACCGAAATGGGGGGGGGGGGGGGGGGGGGGATATTCTTGGGGGAGATTTTATTTCGTAGGTAGGGGGAGAGTTTATTTCGAGAGGGGCGGAACTGTACCGGTATAAATGCGCCGGGGGGAGATTTTATTCTGGGGGCGAATATATTTCGTGACACCGGCCGCAGGACGCCTCCCTGATTTGAGGAGGATGTCTGTTCAGACTGTCAGGAACCATCTTCGCAAGGCTGGAATCCGACTCTGAAGATCAGTTATCGTCCCTGTTTTGCATCAGATCCATCGACAGCGATGCTTGCGTTGGTGCCATACCTTACAGCCTTGGACTTTGAGAAACTGGAGACAATCGGGGTTTAGTGAGGAATCACGCTTTCTTCTTCACTGACGAGATGAAAGACGACGTGTTTATCGTCGACGAAATGAGCGTGGGCATATCCTACACCACGAGATCTGACTTGGTTGTGGTTCAGGGAAATTTGACAGCAAATCGCTACATGAATCAAATTCTTCAACCTTACCTTCTTCCAATTATTGACCGCCAAAGGGAGCTGTTTCAACAGGACAACGCTCCACCGCACACAGCTTGTGTCTCGGTAGACTACCTTCTTATGCCAACATCAACGTCTTGCCCTGGCCGCCGAGATCTCCAGATCTCAACCCAATCGAACAACCCTGGGATGAACTCGATCGACGTGTACGTCAACGTCAGAACCGCCGCAGACACTCCACCACTGGCCAACGCGTTACAAGCAAAATGGCGCCGAATTCCGCAGGACAGAATTCGCACGCTTAACCAGTCAGTGCAGAGGAGATGCAAAACCCTGATTGCTCCCCCGGGCGTTCACACGAGATACTGAGTTTGGCGCAAAATCGTTGCCTTATATGACATGACAACAGTTTTCAATGCCTTTGTACAACGACAACATGTGACTATCGAGGTCCAGAATTTCATATTTGTATCTATGATATTAAATTAAATATATCGACTTTATCCAGTCACAGGATTGTAACCGATGGCACCCGTCACAAACACATGCAAAGACATGTCAATCCACGGAAACATGATGGTACTATTAACACGAGAGTTGGGAAATCAGCTCCCTTAGCAGAGGAACCACCTGAGTGAATAAACAGTCAGTTTATTAGACAGCCCCAGAATGATATGTGACTGTCTGTCATCCGTATTTATACCTATTCTAGCAACTACAGATAATCTCATTGACTGATTAAACTGACGATAAAGTTGTTATTGGGAACTTTAGTGACGTTCTCGTGTTTTTGAGTCAATTGCCTATACAGTTATATGTAAATGTTTTCAAAAACGCGAGATCGCGACACTTTACCAATGGCGCGATCTCGCGTTATCGTGATTTCGTGCTTTTGTGTCAATTGCCTATACAGTTATGTGCAACTATTTTCAAAAACGCGAGAACGCGAGATTGCGACACTTGACCAATGATGCGATCTCGCGTTCTCGTGCTTTTGTGCCAATCGCCTGTACAGTCATAGGCACCTATTTTCAAAAACGCGAGAACGCGAGATTGCGACACTTGACCAATGTCGCGTTCTCGCGTTTTTCGGCCAATTACCTATACAGTCATCTAGTGGCTCAGTCGTCTGAGGCTTCGCAATTCGCTGTGTAGAGTTGCGTTCCTTGGGTGTGCCAGAAACCTTTGATGGTGGGTTTCGTCCCATTTCAAGCTGACAAGCCAGGGTATAACTGAAATATAAATACTGTTCAAAGCGGTGTTAAGCCAAACTCACTCACTTATTCAGGGCCATGCCGGTCCCTCAGGCTGGATATCGGGGGTACTTTTCCAGTATAAGCAAGCCCACCATGTGGATGTCAAGGCCGCAATGAATTATCAGTTCGAGTTTGATTGAATTTTAAAATACATGGGAGACGGAACGCATTTTACTTGACCTTATGTTAGTACACGAGAACGCGAGATCGCGAGAACATGAAATGTCGCATTCTCGCGTTTTCGCGATTTCG